TATCCATTTTTCTTCATCACAGACAGATTTTTCACAAAACGTCATAACACAATACATAAAAAACCACAACATGTAGTTTTGAGACTAAAAAACGTAAAATTTACAAAAAAAATAAGAATGAATGAGGATGCATATTTGTTTAAAATCAACGTTCTTCCCTTTTCTTGAGTTTGTTTCTATTTTTTGTTAACAAACATAATAATAAAAAATGTTCGTTGTGGTAAATGAAATAATAATTTGATAAGTAAGAGTTTTTTTCCTTTCTGATTTGTAAAAAATCCTTATATGATAGACAAAAATGAATACTATTTTCGAAAATCTGTGTAGCTGAATTATGCAAAATCTGTTATTAAAACCAAAACAACTAAATTTTTTAAGTGTAATAGGAAAATATATACTTGTATAGTTAATTTCTGCTCCTTAAATGAAATGTTCATTAAGTGCTCATAAATGTGAAAAATGAATTCCTGGAAAAAAAAAATTCCTACAAAACTTACAGTTATTAGCTTGAAACAATGATAAAGACTATATTAGTTGTATTACATACAGTTTCACTATAGATGCTTTATATCTTTATGAATTCATCTACTAAACAATATAAATATGTAACTAATGTTGAATAAATACATGCAACATTTAATTAAACCTAACAAGTTTCTAAAACCATTTCAAAGAGCAAATTCCAATATCCTTTATGGATAGTTTAAGAGATATGCACTAAAAACCTGTATCTAATCCTGCAAAATCACAGTAAAAAACCTTATATAACAAACTAGAGCTAAAAGTGAAACATACATAATACTATAATAAAAAGTATATATCTGTGACAGAAAAATCATTTAACTATTTTAAAAGGCCTAGTTAGAAGAATTATAATAATAATAATAAAAAAAATCAGAAAAAATGTTTTTTTTTCTTTCTAAAATTGAAAATATTACAAATGCTGTGTTCACTTTAACATAAGCAAATGCTTACCAACTGTGCGAGATTGTCGAAGAGAACTTTCAAAGACTTTCTATACTCATCAAACGATGCTTCATCTTCACCCTATTGAAATATTATTGCAATATTCTGCTGTATTAATTCAAGTAGGAAAACAAAGTTTTAGTTGTATATATATAAAAAAAGAGGTAGTGTGAGCTTACCAATGCAAAAAAGAAAAAAAAACATACTAACTGCATTTAACCTGTGTTTAAACTTCATCTACAAAAACAAATACTTTTGATGAGAAGTTAAAATGGTAAAAATACAAGTAAATACGAGATCAAGTTTATATTAATTTTTTAAACTTTGGCAGACAAACTTTTTATTCTTAGAAGTTTTGAAATTTTCAGTTTTTTAAATGAATCACATGGCAATGAATAATGCACAAGTAGTAAAATTTGGCCAAATACTGGGTCTGGGCACCCGTTCAGTAATCTTCTTCCCTTGCCCCCCCCCCCCAAAATATACACAAAAATTAGAAAGAAAAACAAAATTGACGTTTATTACATTTAACCGAATAATAAACAGAACATACGAGTTTTACTTTCAACTTTCAATGCCTAGCCCCAACTTATCAAACCCTAACTCTTACTGTTATCAAAACCTACACCTTCCCCAGAAATTCACTTCTCAAGCCATGACTGTTATTAACCCCTATTGTTCTCTGAATCCCCGATTTTCAGCAGGTGGTCAGTCTTTGTTGCTCGAAACACGTTTTTTTTTTTAACTAAACCAATTATTGACTGTAATTTTCAGTACCTTGTTATTTGCCACAAAGATTAGGGCTTAGATGCCTAACTTCGACACTACGCCTGAGCCGAGTATTACCGGGTAGCCCAATACCTGGCCAGGGCTGAATATTTGACAGGGTACCCATGCATCCCTAATATTAACATATAATGTAATAATGCTACAACAATTCAAGAAACAAAATTTTTAGAATTTTTGTTTTTGTGAAACTAAACTGATGTTCAATAATATAAACACTGCAAAAAAGCATTAATATCATTACTCTCTATAAATCATTATATTTACCACAAGAAATCTAAATGTGCAAATGTTTCATGCAGTAAAATAATTTATATATATATATATATATATATATATATATATATTATTCTATTAA